GGTAGAAGGAATCAAACTAAATGCTTATATTGTGATAAGCTCATACTAGGGGGTGGAATTACTAGATTGAAAGAGCATCTTGCTGGAATCAAAGGCAATGTCGGTGCTTGCAAAAAAGTTTCAACAGATGTGAAGTGGCAAATGCAACAGTTATTAAGTGAGATAAGGAAAGGGAAAGAAAAGAGACAGAGACTTGGGGATATGGTTGGGAGTCAATGTGATTCACAAATATTTGTTGATGAAGATGATGAAATTGAAGAAGCCATCGATCTCAATCACATGTAGCACAGCAGAAAAAAAAATATTAATTCATATTTCGCACCAAGGACAACTCCTGGAGCCCAGAAAACCATAAAAAATGCTTTGCAATCAAGAGAAAAACAAGAAGCTACTAGAATGGCTATTGCTAGATGGTGGTATGATGCTAATGTGCCTTTCCATGCTACACGTTCAAAATACTACTTGCCAATGTGGGATGTTGTCACATCTATGGGACCTAGTTTCAAGGGACCGAGTTACCATGATTTGAGAGGTTCTCTCTTAAAATATGCAGTAAAGGAAGTTAATGAATGGCTCTTATCTTTGAAGTCAATATGGAGTACCAATGGTTGTTCAATTATGGCAGATGGATGGACAAATCAAAGATAGCAACCAATAATTAATTTCCTTGTTTATTGTCCTAGAGGAAGCATGTTTTTAAAGTCTGTTGACACTTCTGGTTTGACAAAGGATGCTAATACATTGGAGAAGATGTTTGATGAAGTGGTGAAAGAAGTGGGAGTGGAAAATGTGGTACAATTTATAACAAACAATGATGCTTCATTCAAAGTTGTTGGGAAAAGGTTGGAAGCAAAGTACAGCACATTTTTTTGGTCTCCTTGTGCTGCCCATTGTATTGACTTGATGTTAGAAAATTTTTCTTATGCAAGATACTTTCCTATAGTTAAAGGCAAGAAAAATCACAAAGTTCATATATAATCATTCATGGGTGCTAGCATTGATGAGGAGGGACTACACAAATGGGAGAGATTTGTGTCATCCTGCTGTTACAAGATTTGCTACCCATTTTTTGAACATCCAATGTTTATTGAAATTCAAGAAGGAGCTTAGGCAAATGTTTACAAGTGATGCATGGGTTGGTTCTAGGTATGCAAGAAGTAGTGTTGGGAAAGAAGTATGTGAAATTGTCTTGGAAGATAGAGAATTTTGGTCTAATTGCATATTGATTGTCAAAATCAGTGAG